AAAGCACTGTTTTAAAACAAGAACAGAATTATTTTGTTAAGCTATTGTAATACATTCCAATTGGTCAAAATAAACACGCAATGTCAAAACAAAACTCAAAAAAGCACAAAGAGCTATATTCAATTGTATAATGGTCCTAAGTCCCTCATTACAGCGAGGGGAAGGGTCTGGTGGTGGTGGTGTGGTTTTTAAATTGTGTCTTATTTATTGTCTCCATTCTGTCTGTAAAAAAAAAAGTGGAGGGACAGTTTTGGTTCCTGGGTAATTTGCAAAACCACAAAATTCACTTACAAAAATATGTAAGCGTGACCTATAATATTACCAGTTTGGGAAACTACAATCACACCCTTTTAAACTTTTGGAGTCTGGGTTATTCAGGGAATCTTAGCATTTTATGAATGCAAAGGAACTGAAGGGGCATATCCACTTATTTTAGGTATAAAGAAAGGTCCAAATAGGTAACATACTGGAGATAACAGCACTAGTCACCTAGCTTGTTCACGATTATCTGTTTCATTTGATACCACATTTGTTTTCTTCTTTTTTTTTTCAGCTCCACTGTGCAGCATGTGGAATTTCAGTTCCTCGACCAGGGATCAAACACATGCCCTCTGCATTGGAAGCACAGAGCCTTAACATCTAGACTGCCAGGGAAGTTCAATGCCATATTTTCAATGTCATTCTATATCCTAGGACAGTGGTGCTCAAAACTGAGCATGCATCAGAATCACCTGAGGACTTGTTTAAAACACCCACAGGCTGCACGCTCCTGAGTTTAGGAATCTATAGGGCTGAGGTAAGGGCCAGGAATCTGCACATATAACCAGTTCCCTGGTAATGTCAATGCCACTGGTCTGGGGACCCTACTTGAAATTCACTGACCCAAGAAGTGGAAGCATGGGTTTTGCAACCTAACACAGCTGAGTTCCAGCTCCACTTCAGTCACTTGTACGACCCTTGGAAAAGCCACCCAAACCCTCTGAACTTCAGTCTCTGACACTTAAGTCCAGGTGGGAGGAATAAAGAAATGCCCATAAAGCACTAGCTCAGCCAAGGGCTAGGCCTTTTAGAAGCAAGTGCTCAAAAAACACTAGTTACATTCTACAGAAATGTTTCCTTAACCATCATAGCTCCCTGTTACCTGCTATTTCACTTTCTGTGATTTCAGTTACCTATAGTCAACCACAGTCTGAAAATGTTCAACAGAAAATTCCACAAATACACAATTCACACGTTTTAAATTGTGCACCAAGTAACATGATGAAAGTTCCATTCTTCCCACTCTGTCCTGCCCAGGACATGAATCATCCCTTTGTCCAGGGTATCCTTCCCATGAGTCACTTAGAAGTTCCGTTATCAAATCAACTGTCCAGGTATAGCAGTTCTTGTATTCAAGTGACCCTTATTGTGCTCAATAATGGCCCCAAAGCACAAGAGGAGAGATGCTGGTAGTTCAGATCTGCCAAAGAGAAACCATAAAGTACTTCCTTGAAGTGAAAATGTGGAAGTTCTCAACTTAATAAAATCATATGCCGCGGGGACTTCCCTGGTTAAGACTGCACTTCTACCCCAGAGGACAAGGTTTTGATCCCGGGTCTGGGAACTAAGATCCCATCTGCCACATGGCACAACCAAAAAAAATCATAAGCTGTGGATACTAAGATCTACAGTAAGAATGAATTTTCTACTTGTAAAATCATGAAGAAAGAAAAAAGAAATACATGCTAGTTTTGCTTTCATACTTCAAACTGCAAAGTTGCAGCTGTGGTGCATGATAAGTGCTTCATAGTAATAAGATAGAAAAGGCACGAAATTTGTACAGTAAGGTATTTTGAGAGAGCACATTCACATACCTTTTATTACAGTATACAGTTATAATTTGTTCTATTTTCTCATGTTGTTGTTAATCTCTCATTGTGCCTAATTTGGAATGTACCATTCGAAAATACTTCACTTTTCTCCTTTTTCAACATACACTAGAATAGTTAAAGTTAAAAAGATAGATAAGATCAAAGATTGGCAAAGATATGGAAGAACTGGAACATTTATAGCAGCTTTATTCATAATAGGCGAGAAAAAAAACAGTCCAAATGTCCATTGAGAAACAAAAATATAAACAATCTGGTACATGTATGCAATGTTATACTACTCCACGATACAAAACAACCCTGATACACACAATACGAACTCTCCAAAATATTTTGTTGAGGGAAAAAACCTAGACACAAAAGAATGCACAGTACATTATTTCACTGATATGAATTTCAACAATAGACAAGACTAACCCAAAGTGAGAGAAATCAAATAGTCAATGCCTCTGGAAGAGGTGGAGGGAACTGACTGGAAAAGTATAGGAGGGAAATTTCTGAAGTAATGGAAATGCTCTGTATCTTGATTTGGGTGAAGCGGACATGAGCATATACATTCATCAAAACCCATCAAACTACATACTGAAGATCTGTACATTTTACTACAGGTAAATATAAAGCTATAGTATATATAGTACATGTATATATTATATTACACATGTATATATATATAATAGTATATCATATATATGAAGTGATTTATTTTACATAGCATATATATGTAAATTTCTTAAGGCACTTTTGTGACAAAAAACTGTCATCCCCAATTAAAAATAAACCAAATCCAACCTAGTAGATCCATTTAGCTTGATACTTTTACAGACCAGCCCTATTTCATATACCATTTACAACAGACTAGTTTGGTCTGTGCAACTTTCCAGAGAGCTGCCATGAAATAGAAAGACAAGAATTCTCTCCCACAAGAGGATCATGACATTTCCATACAGACAGCATCCACAGTGACCCATGGCCCTGGGAGTAGCTGATTTAAGGTGCAGACAACTCAAAAGTATTATTTTTCTTTACCAAGTAGGAGCCTATTTAATATGATTAAAACACAGTAATGAAAACACAAGAACAACTTTATAGTATAATTTAAATCATACTCTCAATATGAAAGAGAAGGCTGGTGATGTGGACGGGAGGGGACTTTGGGGGAGAATGGATACACATATATATGTATGGCTGAGTCCCTTCCCTGTTTACTTGAAACTACCACAACATTGTTAAATCGGCTATATCCCAATACAAAATAAAAAGTTACAAGCTACCAAAAAAAAAGAGAGAGAGAGAGAGAGAGAAGGCTGGTGAAATGCTCTCCAGCGCCTTCTTTCTGTAATGAAGATGTTAGAAGAGCTGCCTGTGCCTGTGTAATCATGATGGGAAATAGTAGCTTTTACATTGTGGTGGATTTCAGACCATTCAAACGTCCCCATCCATAACTTTATTCCACTATAAGAAGAACAAGTAGGTTTGCATACACACACAGGCACACACACTTTCTATGAGCATTCTTGAGTAGCACATAGAATAATTCCGGGTGAAAGGAAATAAGATGGGGAGACACTAGCTTCCTTCAAACCCAGAGGCGTCTGATTCCAAACACACTTGGTTATCTGATTGACCTTTCCAGAGTTTCACGATGCAGCAACACTGGAACAAAGCCTCCCAATCTTTGGTGCAGGGAGGCTCAGCCACCTATAGTATCTCACACACTGAGAATGAGCTCCCATTGATCCATGAGACACCATTAAATGCTCCCTGCCCCCATAACCTCTGGGATAGTCGGGAACTCGTGCCTGTCCTCCTACCAGCCCTGTCTCCAAGATGCCCCTGCACGGTGACCCGCAGCCGATCCCATCAAATGCTATGACACAGTATTTTCTCTACAGTTGGATCAAGTCCTAGTAACGCAAGAACCTGAATTATGGTGTTAACCTCATAATTCAGATTCCTGACACTAAAAAAACCCGAGTCAGACATGACTTAGAGACTGAACAACAATCTAGTCCTCCAGGAAACCTTCTCTGATCATACAACTGGAAGTTGTACATAGGCATTATTTTCTTCCATGAGACTGGACGCTCCTAGAGATTGAGGACTGTTTTGTAAACTTCATTTTATGTCTAACATTGCCTGCTCAGTAGATAGCACATAAATGTCTCAAAATGTTTGGTGATATACGGAGTAAGTGGAACCCGTTTTAATGTAGTAATGGTAATACACTGGGTTATTATCATTCTATATCTAATACCTAATAAAGTACTAACACATTTTTTTTAAAGCTAAACTTAAAAGCTAGACATAGAAATAACTGCCCCAACTTCACTTGAAACATAATAATAGCTAGTCTTTACTGAGCACTTATTATGTTCCAGGCACTATTCTGCACCCTTTATAAGTTTATGTAACACAAAACAGCCAGTTTACAGATAAGGGAGACATTATTTCCAGGTGAGACAAGGTGTTGGACCTTAAGCAAAGTTGAGGCAAGGTTTAGTAAATGAGGCATATTCTCTCCTTTCAATAGGCTTACTACCTTGTATGGAAAGAAGGGAAGGGACCTAACACATAGTTCAGAATAAGTAAAAACCTACAAGACACACATTTAGGGGGGTCCAGAGGAAGGCTGATTTCTTCATCCTGGCAGGATACCTGAGGGCTTCTTGGAGGAGGTGTGCAAGCAGATAATGAGGACACAAATGGAAGGAGATTTCCCTGTCAGTCCCTCAGCTACCAAAAGGCCTGTCTCTTCTCCCTGTCCCCCTCCTCCACTTCATCTGGAACAGACCTGTTTCCAAAAGAGGACAAGCTCAGCCCAGCCCTCCTTTCCTCTGACACAGTCCTCCAGCTGCTACTTGCCCTTTCAAGCACGCAGGCACATGTGTGAACTTTTCACCAGGTCTCAACCTGGTGCTTTTGCAGGGAAGAACCTGCATCACGGTGCTTGGTCATACAAGGGACCCCTTTAAGGGAATCCAGTCCTTCTCTACTGCACTACATCAGGGACAGCCCTGAGCCTATACCAAACGAAAATGCAAGGGGCTCCCCCCAGCCAGCAGCCATCAGAAGGGTCATCACTCCTCTCCAGGCTTCGAAGAGGTGAATTTGCCTGCACTCCCTTCTCTCAAGTGCACCCCTCAGGTCTCCCGCACAGTGAGTTTCAAACCCTCACTCTTGGCATCTGTGTGACCTTGGGCAAGTAACTGAACCAACATCAGTAAATGAAACAACGTCAGTCCCAGCTTCCTTATCCAAAACATGGGGTTTTTAAGAAAAACTCCCTCTCAGAATTGTTGCGCATCAGAACAAAAGAGTGCAAGGAAAGCATTTTACACAGAACCTGACACATAATAAGCGAACAAGAAATAGCAGCTATAATCATCTTCACAGGGATGATGACGATGGTTGCAGTGATGGGGATGGTGGTGACGCTGGTGGCAGTATAAACTTGGGCTTGAACGGCGCTGAAATACCCTCTCTATCCTCTCCCCCCAGCGCCACCCACAAGTCTGGGGCCAGGCCACACGGTAGAGACACATGCGTCATCCAGCTGTGGGGTGAATGCAAGATCTTCAGGCTGCAGGCTTTGGGACTGAAAGGTGGTGATGCCCTAGCCCACCTGGCCGGTCACGGGGTGATGCTGATTTTCTGATTAAGTAGGTCCAACAATCAAAGACCTCCTTCATACCCATTCTCCAGATCTGAAAACAGCTAGGAGATCAAAGAACGCGTTAGCTGCGCACGCTGCAACACTCGCCCAGGGAGCCAGGAGAGCGTCCACTTTGCCCCTGCCTCAGTTCCCCAACTCTCCTCCCGGTGCAGGCAGGCCACTGCTGCCCTTGGTGGCGGAGATAACAGGTTAGCAAACCGGGCCAGGGAAAAATCTCTGCGATTCCCCGAGCTAACCCAAACCCCTCTTCCCAACGCAGGTGGGCAAACAACCCACAACCTCTCAACAACTTGGTGTATTTCACCATCACTGGGCACACGGCCTCAACATCGCCCCTATGCCGCGTTCGCAGGAGAAAAGCGGGAAATCGGAAGCGGGGCGGGGGGAGCCTCCTCAGGCCGGTTTCCTATTCTGGGGGTGCCTCCAGGAGGCGCGTCCCGACTTACCTTGTCTGACGGCTTTGAAGGTGACGGCCTCCTTGCAGCTGTCGATGACTCCCAGTACGTCATAGCGGGGCAAGCCGGACACCCGGATCCCCTGCACCTCCAGAAGCAACTCACCCTCGCCCAGCCGAGGGCCCTCGCCGCCGCCGGGAAGCCCCGACGCCTCGGTCGCCGTCACCGCTCCGACATAGGGAAACTCTCCATTCTCCGCGCCCCCCAGCACCGTCACCCCCAGCTCTCCCTGGGGTCCCCGCTTCACGGTGCATTCGTGAACCCTGCTAGTCCAGTGGTTCTTCTTCTGGATCACTTTCGACATGATGAGTTACACCCCTCCTACCCCCGCCAAAAAAAATAATGATAAAATGAGAGACAGGTGCCCCCCACAGCACAAGCCCCCAAGCCCCTGCTGGTTCATGGGAGAGACATCTCCCCCCAAACAACGCAGCGGGAGAGAGAAACTTGGCAGCCTTGCTCCCTAGCACACACTCGCTCACTCAAGCCATCATAAAACAAACTTGCTGGGCTTCCCCGCGAGCCCTGCACAGGCGCCCGCGAGCTTTGTTTGCATTCCGGTGCTTCTCGGTCCACGTTCCGGCGCCCGACCGTGCTCTCTCTGGGACCAGAGTCCACTCTGCGCCGCTTGGATTATTTTTTTTCCTTCCTTCCTTTCTTTCTTGCCTCTTAGAAATGCGGTGTCTCCTCTTTGCCTCGCGCCTGGCTCGCCTTTCCTCGCTGGCGGGCAGTTTCTGAGGGTGAGGGAAGCCCTTCCAGCCAGTTGCTGGGAGCCCTGGAGACGCGGTAGCTGAGCGGGGGCGGGGGGGACAGGAGGGAAGTGCCTGCGTCCCCTTTAAGCAGATACAAAGGCTCGGCTTGTTTTGTTACAGTTCATTCTATTCCGCGCCGCCGAGCGCAGCGGCCGGCGAGAGGAGACGCGCGCGCATGCGCCCCGCGACCGCCTGCCGGCCGGCCCGCCCCACCCCGCCTTCCTGAAGTGAGAGATTCCAATGTGCTTCCCGTTGGGTCCTAAGTCCGACCCTTCCAGGATCAGCCACTTTTCTCCCCCTTCACACACCCTTCTCATTCCTACTTTTATTTTAGTGCTCACGACTCTGCATAGCCCTTCGGGGGTGTGGGAAACGATCAAGTGTTTTACTCCAACGTCTGCAACTTTTGAAAACATGGGCAATCTGCTTGGGCATTTTAAAACCATTTCAAACAGGTGGGGGTTGGGGACGCTCACACTCACCCTCGCGCTCACACTCACGCACACACGCACGCACACACGCCGGCCTAAGCTTCCTTACCGCCCTCGGCCAGTGGCTGGCCACGCTGTCGGTCACCCAGCCCACCCCCCGCCGCATCTCCCTCTAATACCCTGAACCCAACCCAGAGGAGGGCGCCTGCCCGGCTTGCCCCCAACCTGCACCGTGCGGGCGGGTTCTGGTCTTGGAGCAGGGTGTGCTCCAGCCTCTGCGACCCTGGGGAGGGGGGCCGTGGTGGTCCCCCAAATGGGATCCGTCACACGCTCACACACGTATACACACACTTATCTGCATCCTTAAACTTTAGAGCCAACTTTTCTGGACGCAGATAAAATATAAGGCGAGGGAAAGAAGCCAAAAAGCAAGAGGGGCTTGGGGTCTTCAACCGAAAAGGGTCTAGCTCTTTAAAACTCCCTTGCGGCCAGAGACCTCTGAAGGCAGGCGTCTGTCCCGGACTCTAGTTCCCGGCTGAGCTGGGCAGCCTTTGGACCCGCCCCGGGGCCAGGAGATAAGGATCACTCCCGGGTCTGGGATCTGCACCCGAGTCCTGGCGCCCGCGGGGGCGTGGGCGCGACAGCCACCTCTCGGAATTCGCAGCCGGGAGTTGCTGCTGCCTCGGGCACCGCCCGAGGGCGGGGGTAGAGCCAGCTAATGTCCCTGCTAGGTTTCGGAACGTGCTCGGGGGTTGCGGACGGAAAGAATATCCTGCACCGGCAAGGCTACCCTCCCCAATACTCCCCAATCGGCCTGGACGATAGTCTCCTAAACATTTTCTTTTCCTCAGTGATTTATAACTTGTTTATCCATCTTGGGTCACAAGAGAGATTTCAAGTGCTAAATAAGGGAGGTGAGTGTAAAGGACTCCGAAAGGACGGGGTGCCTCAGAGGTTGAGAGCTGAGCTCTGAGGTTTAGGTTCTCACCGGTCCAGTGTCCGTGTGATCTTGACCAAGCGCTGGGACCCCTCAGAGCCTGAGTTTCTTGAGTAAGTGTAACAATACCTGACAAGGTTCTTGGGAGTATTACGGGAAGGACACTTGTAAAGTGATGTATAATAAAAGCTTATTAGAAGTAGTAGTACTAGTAGTGGTTTGAAAATTTAGGAATCATTTGGGGTTTCAAGTTACATGGTAATTCCTCCTCTTCTTTCTAAAACAAAATATATAGGCATACATTTAAATATTTTAAAGCACTGCTTATAGGGCACTTTTCTAAGCCAATAAAAACAAGAGAAGAACGTTGCTACTTCTGTCTTGAGATATCCAAAACTGAAAAATCCTATTGCCTTCTAGTATTTGTAAAAGAAGGAAGTGACCAGTTTTCCATGGCTCTTTGGTAAAGGAAACCATCTTCAGCCTCTTTTCTTAGAAGATACCCATTTGTCTCCAGCTTGACTGGATCAAGATGAATGAGAAATTAAAAAGGTTCAGTCCCAAAACCAAACAAACAAAGATCCAGCCACTCAGAATCTTAAGGATAGGTTCTATCATCTGGATGTTTAAGGTTGCCTTTACATGGCGCTAGTACACACCACTGAGGACCACAAGTCTATCATCTTGATTCCTGAGCTCACAGACACTTTTAGGGTAAGAATCTATGTCCACATCTTCTTGGACAGTATATACTCCAGGAAGGTAGTGGATTTGGGTAGTTTAGTTTACTGATGTATTCCCAGTTCTTAGAACAGTATGTGATACCTTGTTAATGTTCAAGTATTTGGTGAGTGAATCCTCTTCCCAAAATGAACATTTTGCGTACTACCTTAAGAGTGAAATCACAGATTTCCCTACAGATCATTGGTAATCTTGACCTTCTATATTTCCCACTTCCCACACTCCATATTTTACAACTGTGGGTGCCTACGATTACTTGCCAGGAATTCTCCCACTTGCCTCTAATCAGCGGTCACCTACCTAGAGGAGGCCAAACAATAGACAAGATTAAGTGGTCAGCAGTTCCTCCCACTGGCAGCAGCACCATTTTCCCTCTCCAGGGTTCCGCATGACCCTGAAGCTGAGAAGAGGAAAGGACTTGGAATTTAGCCTACTTCAGATTCTAGGTGTGGAATAACCCCCCCCCAAAAAAAAGAAGGGAAAAGTGAGGGCACAGACAGCAGGGTAGAGAGAGGTATAGAGAGACATATTAAAATCCAGAAATTTAAAAAGAAGTCATTTGAACTTTCAAAACAGCTGAGACTGCCAATTTCCAGACATTAAGTTTATGATGTTCCCAAACACTCTGCCTCTCCTCTGAACCTTTCTGTTTGTTCTACTTCTCCTGGTTCAGTTCCTGTGTCCCAGATTGGAAGGAGCTTCAATGCAGAAATCATATTTATTCTACCCAAACTTTGAATACTCAGCACCTAAACCCATGCCTTGAGGTGAGTGTGCACATACACACTTGATGAATGAATGTGTGAATGCATGGGTGAAGTGTGACCTTAAACTATGTAGTATGTGACCTTTAGCATGAAACCCATTTAAATTCCCTGACCTTTCAGTGGTTAGTTAGGACTACACCTTTCTGTTGCAGGGGGCGTGAGTTCCCTGTGGCATGGCCAAAAAATTAAGTAAGTAAAAAAAACATGAAACCCATTTAGATTTGGTGGCTAAAGCTGATATTTATAGATTGTTTTCTTAAGAGTTTATAGTTATCTTGAAGTAGATTTTTCTTGAATATATATAAAGAAGAACCCTGTGTTCTGGCTTCTCTCACTTACATTATGATTTTGACAATATATTCTAGTGGGGGGAAATAATGCCATAAAATAGTTATGTGCATTATTTTATTTAATCACTATAACAATTGTGTGAGGTAGGTATGGCCTTGATTTTGTATGAATGACTTTGATTTTAGAGGAAAGTAAAGCGGAGAAGGCAGAGGCACCCCACTCCAGTATTCTTGCTTGGAAAATCCCATGGACGGAGGAGCCTGGTAGGCTGTGGTCCATGGGGTCGCAAAGAGTCAGACATGACTGAGCGACTTCACTTTCACTTTTCACTTTTATGCATTGGAGAAGGAAATGGCAACCCACTCCAGTGTTCTTGCCTGGAGAATCCCAGGGATGGGGTCGCACAGAATCGGACACGACTGAAGTGACTTAGCAGTAGCAAAGCTAGATAAGTAAAGAAACTTGCTCAAGAGCCTGGAAATGATAGAGCTAGGATGTGAACCCAGAGGCCCAAACCAAAGCCCACATTCAGAGCTACAGCCCTATGGGAGGGGTAGGATGTGGCCATCCACCATCTAGCATATTTGGGTACCAGCATATTTTGGCTCCAGTATCTGCCACATAGTGTGTGCATACCAGTTAAGACACTCTTCTATCTCTTCCTTTTAAACTGAAAGAATACAGTGTTCCACTCTGGAATCCAATCTGCAACTCTCCTTTGAGCCCTGAGTATCAAATAATTTACTGGAATGTAAAGAGTATTAATTTGCAAACATTTCTGAAGTGTCTAGAGATCTGTCGGCTCTGGTACAGGTGACATGCCAATATACTGTTACTGCAGAAGCAGTTCAACAATGAAATCTTAATAAACGTGATTAAGAAGTAAACTGTGACATAATAAACTGCAAAAATGATGGTCTTATTTTCCTATAGCTAGTTCCACTCAAAGGAAGAAGAAAATCCACAAATGTAAAATTGTGCATTTCTTTCTGACAAAGACATTTCTTTTCAAAGGTTTCCAGTTGTGAGTAAAGAAAGCATTACTGCAGTCGAAAGTGGTAACTTACCTCCTTTTTCTGAAAATGTGAAGACAGGAGATAAGTTGGTTGACTGTGAGGCAAAAGAGGACATATAAATTGGTTATCTTTTAGTTTCTGAAAAATGTCATCAAGAAGCATATATTATAGATATCAAGGTAAATGCTTCATATTCAATAAGGTAACTGACTCCAAACTGGTAATTTAGAGCAGATCAACAAAGGAAGTTAAAACCCTTATTTCAGATAGAGGGAAACAGATAGTGAGGACCACTTTCTGAGTCATCTCCTGGAGGCACTTTTATGATTTACTTGATAACATCTTCTTTTCCTCACAGGGAGGCAGACAGATTTTTTCTGACCACAGTACCCCTCTAGTTTCAGCTAGGGAAAAAAAATAAAATGTTAATTCTCGTGAGGTCGTGATCTTCCAAGCCATCGCATGTGAACTATTATTTTCATATCCTAGAGGAGGGACTCCAGGAAGAGAGTTTAATCCTGGCTAATGTTCTGGTTCATTTCCATGGGAAAAAAATTAATATTGGTAACTGGAAGATTTGAAATTTCAATGTTGGCTGTGAGGAACCAAGAGAAACCCAAGAATTTATTATGGGAATCTCTCCTAAAATTTCCCAAATATTCAGCTATACTGTAACATATCATCCTGCATAATTCCATTGAAAATATACCTGGTGACAGTAAATTTCCTCATGAACAGGATATTTGCAATTTTCTTCATAATAGATATTTGTATCTCTTTTATTTCATCTCCCACCAACTCTATGAAAATATAGAAATTGGAACCTGGCAGATGCTTAAATAATAATTTGATTATTGAAGGTGTTCGTTCAATGTATGTCTTCTTATTGTATATTTTAACAATTTTTATTGCACTGAAGCAGAAGTGAACGAAAGAAGAGGAAATACACATTGAAATCAAGGATGCAATACCTGCGTTTTAAAA